ATTATTTTTTAAATAGCAGTCCTAGGTAAGACAAGTGGGAACAAAAAAGGCTTTAAAGAAGGAAGATTATCAAAGATGAGATCAGAGAGGCTAGGGACAGATCTGAAACCGCTAATAATCTGAAATTTATTTGGGAGGCCACTTAGCTTTTGAGTACTATAGAAAAATGATTTACTACCATTTTTTTTTTTTTTTGGAACAATTTTAGGTTCAAAGAAAAATTGAGCTGAAGGTACAGAGATTTCCAACATACTCCTTCCTCTCACATGCATAACCTCCTCCATTATCTATATCTCCCACCAGAATGATATATTTGTTACAATGGATAAACCTATAGTCATATATTATAACTACCCCAAATCCATAGTTTACATTACAGTTCACTCTTGGTGGTGTACATTTTATAGGCTTAGGTAAATGCTAATGACATGTATCATCCACCATTATAGTATTATACAGAGTAGTTTCACTGCCCTAACACAATTATCTTATTACTTCAAATTTTAAAATAAAAGTCAGAATAAATGAAGGCCTGTAAAGCTTCTCATTCAATACCAGGAAGATAGTTTTCATGTAAAGAAAAGCCATGTCTTTGGTGAGAAGTATATAAGGGCCTTCTTTCTTCTTATGTGCATATTTCAAATTTTTCAGAGAAAATAATTCTGAATTAAGAAAAAAGAAAAGCATGTCTTTATTTGGCCATCTACACAAAGATTTCATAGAAATGCTTGCACATTCAGCCTTCAGTTTTCTCTTTAACCACTCTGCCCCTTAAAATATGAAGTGTTCTCCCTCCTGAATATACGGAAGAAGTTGTGAAACCTCTGACAAAGATGAGAAAACTTATTATAAGAGACATCTCATAAAATGATAATTTATAACCAAGAATTCTTCTGATTCTGAACCCTTCAAGATCAGGGAAAATTTGAAGAAATTACAATGTTAGCACTTTTAGGCAAGCAAAATAAACTTGTAAAGGGCATCTACATTCCTCTTAGAGAATCCTCTACTATATGTTTTTATCAAATCACTACATTGTACACCTTAAATATATATAATTTTTACTTAACAATTATACTCCATAAAGCTGGGGGAAATATGAGGAAATAAAACTCAGCTTGGATTAACCTTCTTTCAAATCAAAAATGTCACCTCTACCATCAACTCCTCTTTGCCTCTTGTCAATTCCTCACCATCAACAGTTCACAATCTTCCCTTTCCTAGGATTTAACAAATCTTCTCACGGTCAACAAAATTCAAAGTTAAGTATTCTCATTCCCATTTTAACATGTGAAAACTGATCCTTATAGAAGTCATGTGACCCATGTAAGGCCATATGGTTAGTGGCAGGGATAAAGAGAACACAGGTTTTCTGACCCCTACTCTTAATCGAATACTCATTACCTTGCACCAGGATGACTACATTCAGGCAACAAGAAATTCCATTGTAATTGAAGTGGCTGAATTCTTTGCAATGCAACCATCAGTGACCAAGCCTGACATATTAGCTGTTCTTTAAATCTCAGCCTTCTCTTCAGGATCACAGGGATGACCTAGTTAAGCATATGCATATTTGCTTCAATTTATTTAGCTTCATGTATGTGTTTAATTCTATTTTTGATCCAAACTGCCACAATATATTTTTTGTAGTCAGTTCTCTAAGAGAAAAATGATTCAGAACTGTGTTCTAGAAAGCAAATTCTGGCAGCTGTATGGAAAAAAGGCTGGAGATGAAAGAAGAGGCATCCAGATCAGTTAGAAGGCTACTCCACTCTTACATGGGAGAGGCCAGCGCTTTAAGTCAGGCAGTGCCTCTGGGGGGGGGAGGGGGAAGGATGGGTGGATATTAAAAAAGGAAGTCAACAAGACTGCAGACTTATTAGATCTGAAGACATGAGCAAGGAGAGAGTGATGTCAGTAGGTAAGATGGGCAACACCAGGGGAGAAACAGAGAAGATAATGAATTATCTTTAAACATGCTGAGTTGGAAGCAGAGAGAAAGGGTAGCAAAGAATTGCCATTCTCATCAAAAACTTAGACATACACTGTTTGAATTTCTAATATATGTAGTTTGATAAAAGAGAAATTAAATAAAAAGGAAAAAGAAGTCAGGGTTCAGAGCAGAAGAAAAAAGGAATTATCCTAAATTGGATGTTAATATGGTATATGGCATCACGAATTCAAAATATTTTGATTCTTCAAGTAAAACATCCCTATGCTAAAAACCAAGAAAAGGATAACCTGTGGTATTGTCATATAGTGGAATCCTATTCAGAAGTTAAAAAAGAATGAACTACACATATAGGCAACAACATGGACAATGCCTATCTCTTAGCTTTGATGAGAAAAATTAGGTTCACATGTTCACATGTCCCTGTGCATTTGATTAAGAAGTGATCTGGTCCAGAGATGCCTGCCTGGGTGGCTCAGCTGGTTAAGTGTCCCATGGCTGGTTTTGGCTCAGGTCATGATCTCAGGGTCGTGAGATTCCATGTCAAGTTCCACTCGGGGGGCAGAGTCTACTTGAAATTTTCCCTCTCCCTCTGCCCCTCCCTAATCCCGCTCACATGCCCCCTTTAAATAAATAAATAAAATCTTAAAAAAAAAAAAAAAAAGTAATGTCCAAACTGGGAAGACCACTTCTACAGTGGTGACTCTGCAAGTTAGAGAGGTAAATAAGAACAGAGCAGAAACCTACCTGGTCAGATCAGCAAATCAATTATCATGTCCTACACATGAAGAAGGGATAAACATTAAATCTGAATCTTGACAGGACTTGAAAATATAGACCACCTGAACATTTTGCAACAGAGAATTACTGTACTTTTTAAAGTTTTTTTTTTTTTTTTTTATTTGTTTGACAGTGATCACGAGTAGGCAGAGAGGTAGGCAGAGAGAGAGACAGAAGGGGAAGCAGGCTCCCTGCTAAGCAGAGAGCCAGATGTGGGGCTCGATCCCACGACCCTGGGATCATGACCTGAGCCGAAGGCAGAGGCTTTAAACTACTGAGCCACTCAGGCGCCCCGATTTACTGTACTTTTATTATTAGGAGGATAAAGACACTGGAACATCTGGAGTAACGAGTGAATGACTAATGTGGAAAGTTTAATGCCCTTTAAAAAATATACACATATATATACACACACAATATATATACAAATGTTTATATATGTATATATAAAATCCATATTTACATGTACTTTGAATCACAGAATGTTTTGAGGTAACAAGTTTTCCTAATACGGGGTCCTCAGATTGCTCATTTCCTAGGAAACAGGGCTAGTTCATTTACCTTCATTCCATTTGCAATCAGGCCTCCTAAATTTCTATGCTGAAACACTCAGCTGTGTGACTATGGATGAATTACAGATTCTCTCTAAGCTAAAAGTGTGTTTTTAAGATGCAGAGAAACCAGGAGCTTGAGTCTCACAAGATCCATGACTTCCACAGCAAGACCAAATCAGGTTTCCTGTAACCCATCCTTCATCCAGTGCCTCACTTGATAACCATCATTTTTAAACTACTTTTTAAATGACCACAGCAGAAGATTACACAAAATACTTGACAGTCTCCTCGAGAATGTAATTTGACTTTATTGAGCCTCTAGAGTATATTAAGCAGTCATTAGTTTTCCCTTACCCTTTTAAAGATAATGGTAAATCCTTTTTACATACCCAAAGGTGGAAATAATTGCCAAGTAATTTTTACTCCTAAATACACATTAAATACTTGCAATCATTATTCCTAAATAATACACTTAAAATGTCATCCCAAAACTGACTATGCATGGCAGTCTGTTATGGGATTGGTCCAGGCTTTGCACCTAAACCTTCTCACTGTTATCCATAGCTTTCAAACTAGGACTAATTTACTTTTCAAAAAAGGTCTTAATTCATAGCAGTAAGAAATAGATTCCTTCAAAATTGAAATAGCATTGGGTCCTATGGATCAAAATAACCTTTTCAATATTATTAAGGATTAAAAAGTGGAAAATAACACTTAGATATTCTATATTTTAAAAATCACATTATTGGGATGCCTGCGTGGCTCAGCAGGTTAAGCATCTGCCCTCAACTCTTGGTCATGAACCCAGTGGTCCTGGAATCCAGTCCCACATCAGGTTCCTTTCTCAAGGGGAGTCTGCTTCTCCCTCTGCCTCCTCTGTCTGCCGCTCCCCCTGCTTGTGCTCTGACAAATAAATAAATAACAATCTTTAAAAAAAAAATTACGTATCATGCTAAGTAGAAAACAAGAAAACCGTGTAAATGTATAGGGAAATAGAGCAGAAATACCCCCAAATTGCTGAGAAGTTGTTCTTGAAGGTGAAGAGTAAGGGTGAATTTTCTTTTCTATACCTACCCATTTTTATTTTATTTTATTTTATTTTTTTAAAGATGTTATTCATTTACCTGACAGACAGAGATCACAAGTAGGCAGAGAGGCAGGCAGAGAGAGAGGAAGGGAAGCAGGCTCCCTGCTGAGCAGAGAGCCCGATGCGGGGCTCGATCCCAGGACGCCGGGACCATGACCCGAGCCGAAGGCAGAGGCCCCAACCCACTGAGCCACCCAGGCGCCCCTCTATACCTACCCATTTTTAAAACAAGAAAAAAAAATCTGTATAATTTCAATAGTTTATTTATAAAACGTGTAGGGTATCCTTCCACTAAAATCACAAAGACCATAACAGCACAGAAGGCACTGCGATAAGATCAAAGAATGTTGTGAACATCCTAAGAGATATACCCTTAAATATTATAGAACCCGCCACAAAGAGGAAAACCTCCTCATCTGACCATCATAAAAAGGCCACAATAGCGAAGAGGGGCACGTCATTGCGGCTCACAATACCGCAGAAGTGGAACGTGGCTCAAATAAATCCCACTGATTATAGAACCCTACTCAATCCCAACTACACCAACATTCTGGCAGTCCCCCCAGCCCACGTGTACACTCTCTGGATTGAAAGGATGGATTTAACTGCCCCTCTTCAAGACTCTTACTCATAATCGCTACTCTCTGAGGAGTATGAACCCGAGTAGCTGACCCGATCTTCATAATCGCAATCCTCATCTTCTTGTGAAGACGGGTCTCCAGGGAGCTCATCTGGGCTATGACGCGAGCCACACGAAACCGGAGACGCCATCATCAGAAATGCAATAGCGGCAAGTCGCGTAATTCAAATCTCGAAAGTACAGCTCGCCGTAACCGCCATGTTGTCTCCACTGGGAAAGAGGAGACGCCACGTGACCGCCAACCCTTGGCTGCAATTGGTGGTGGTTTGGGTTGCCAGGGAGACGAGGAAGCTTTACCCGAGAGCGCGAGAACTACCGCAAGAAGCCAATGAGGTGAAATGTCCAGGAGGGCGTCTCAGTTGGAGGAATTTAAGTAGCTAAAATTTCACTTCTTAGACTCACCTAAATGCACTCTTTTGGAGCCGCAGAATTTGTTAACAGAGGAGACCCCCTGTTTTTTTCCCCCCTTTTCTTCCAGTTTGCACTTTGCCCTGTGTTTCTACGCGGAACGGCTGCCCAAAGCCTTAGAAGCACATAGCCTGGGGTTCCCTTGAGGCAAAGGAAACTCCTCTTTACCCTTCCTCAGGGCCTCTACCTTTTGGGCTAGGAAGGGAAGCTTTTAAACAACGCCCTCAAAGAGGTGCTAATGTAAATACCCTCCATTGTCTCCTCAGTTTTCATTTTGTTTCGCAATTGCAAACGTTTTTATAGTTTTCCCAAGCAGATGCGGTGGAGTGCTTTAAATGGGTGGCAGTGTTGTGAAATCAACTGCATGTTCATTTTGTAACGCAAACTTACAATTTCTTCTCATCACTGAGTTGGAAGTGTAAAGTGATAAATTTTATCGGTATTTTACGAATACCTCCAAGTATTTTCTCTAAGTACAAAATAATAGCATTTATTGAGAATCAGCAATATTCTCAAATTACTTGTTCTATTCGTATACTATGCTAAGTATTATTATGAAGTAAATATCTTATACTAAAGAAACTGAAGCTTAGGTTATTCATCTTAATGGTCAATTGGCTAGAAGGCAACAAAGTCAAACAAAAGTTGAACCTAAGTAATTAACTACTAGATTATATTTCCCCCTCAGGACTCAGTAATTCAACTATTGCAGATCTATTCTAAGAAAATAAAGGATGCAAAAATTTATAAAATTTGTGAAAGTGTAAAGTTGAAAGCAATCTAAGTGTTCAATAGCAGGCGAAAGCTAAATAATATGTATGGAATATGAATATGAGAATAGTAAATGTTTTCAAGGAGTAATGCATGGGGGAAACTTGGGAAACACTGTCCTAAGCCTCTGTGCAGTTCTAAAGCTTCTTACCTGCAGGCCCACTGACCATTTCCCCAGTAGACTAGAACCCACTCCCACCTCCTGAATTTGAGCCTGGCAGACAGACCTCTCTCAGCTCCAGAACTACCATCTTATAATCTTGAGCAAATTAACCGCTCCAAGCTGCATTTCTTTATCTGTGAATTCAGATATTGGTACATACGTCACAGGACTGTTTAGAGTCCAACAAGTTAATGCATGTACAATACCTAGCACATAAAATGTCAATAAAACAAGCTATTTTATAAATCATTTACTCATGTGATTCTTTCATCGAGGAATGCTACTTATCTAAAATATCACATTCTGGGGCACCTGGGTGGCTCAGTGGGTTAAAATATCACATTTTACTTCAAGACCCAATTCTAATAGTACCCTTTTCAAGAAGCTTCCTGCACTCTTTTCCTATCTCAGTGACAATTCCTCTTTCCACCTTCGCCTCATAATCTATCCAATAAAGTTCTGTTATAATAAGTATCAGTCTGGGTGTATCTAAATTATTTAGGAATGTGTCTATCTTTGCCATCAAATGACAAATTCCTGGAAGATATGACTGAGTTTTTGTTGCTGTTTTTTGATCTTTCATCTTACACAGAGTTGAACAGGAGCAGGAAGCGCCACATAAAAGTATCTTTTAAGAAATGTTCTTCACAATAATCATATCTCTGAGTTATGTTAATTTCCTTGGCTTGTCTATTTCCATATGTTAGTTTAATAGACAAAATCTGCCCCACCCAAAATTTTGCCACTTTGCTTGATCTTTCACAAAAGAAGAAATAATAACAATCATTTTATATTCTTATTTAAAATTTCAGGGTGATATTAACTAATCAGATTTCAATTTTATATATCATATTTGTACTAACTAAATCAATATCTAACAACCTTAGGTATACTAGAGGGGATGAAGAACAGAAAAGAATAACATGCTATTTTCAGGGCCTTTTAAAAAATACTGACTGTTTCATAATTAGCAATTTCAGGAAGACTTAAAAGAGACTGAGGTATATTCTCAATTTCTATTTTCCACTACACAGATGGCCAGCTGTCTTCTGAGGACTAAATATGTTCAGTTTAATATATATGACATAATGTCCTTCTTTTTCATAGATTGCCATCTCAATTAGGCATACAATACAATTCTGACATAAAATACACCAGATAAGAACATAATTAAAAATTTAGTGTATTTAGCAGGTTCAAGAGCTTTCCGTTTAGTAGTAATGGAAGCTAGCAATGAGAAGTAAGTGAAAACAGGGCCACAGGAGGTCATGTCCATTAAAAAATTTTAAACTGCAAGGAAAAGTGCATGGAACTTGACATTGTTAGAAACTAATTAATGCCACCTTAATTGTGAACAATGAAATAGTTCATGAGTATATAGTAATGCTGACAACCCCAAACATTTTAAATATCATGAACAAATAACTTGTTAGACCAGCAAAATAACATTTTAAAAACTGAGGCTTTGCAATGTGAGATTTTTAAAATTTGGGATGTAAGAATAATGTTTTAGCAATCCCATGTTTATAGAATTGTATTATCTAAAATTCTAATTTTCAATATAAAAATTGAATTATCTGTAAAAATGTATGAAACTTATTCCAAAGAGATCATACATTCTCTGTTTCAATAATAATGAAACACAGGTAAGAATACAGAGGTAAACATAAAAGTAACTGAAACAGACGGCACTGAGCTAAAGCCCAAAACCCTTGATTTACTCCTACTTATCCTCACTTTATATTTTCATTTACAGATTATAAAAAAAAAATTCAACTGCCGTATATCAGTAGCTGCCAACCAGAAGGAAGGGAGGCCTCCTTAAAACAGGAATACAACAGCTGCAGAAATTGTTGATGGCTGACAATTCGCCAATGGAGAGGAAAGTAGGAAACAAAAAGGAGACACAAGAACTAAAAAAAAAAAAAAAAAACATAGCTTATACGTGAAATGCCAAGTGCCCTCAAAAGCACCTAACAAAAGAAAAGAAAATTACTGCATTGTAGAACCCTACAGTAATTTGATAAGACTATGAAAATGCTCGATCATTCTTAAGTGCCACGCATTCTCCAGTCAGAGAAGCCACATATCGTTCTGATTCTGGCACGAATAACCAAGTGAATGTGGACAAAGTCAGTTTCATCATCTGAAGACAGTAATAATAATCCATGCTTGCTGTACAGGGTCGCTAAGAACCAAATGAGATAACCCTTGGAATCTAAAGTCCTACACCTAAAGAAACAGATGAGTGCGTGCTATATGCTGTATTTAAAAATTTTTTATTTCTTTTTTTTTTTTTTTTAGTTTTTACTTTTTGAGTTTAAAGTATATTTTATTCATCAGGAATGTTATCTAATGGGGTAACACCTTTACCCCCTGAGACTTCTTTATATATATATATATATATTTTTTTATATATATATATATTTTATATATATATTTTTTTTATATATATGCATATTTTTGCTGTGGACAAAAGCATGAAGTTTAGGTCATCAAACATTTTCAGAGACATAACTCTAGCTCATTTTCTTTGCTGGCCTAGATGTCAGAACACACTACCACTCTGGCCTGGACCAGCCCTATATATTAGCCATTAGGGTTTGGGCAAAAGTCACTTAGCTGAATTTTCTGAATCTTTAGGAATAGCTATAGGTGTGTGTTTTGTTTTAATTTTTTAGGACATTTGTTAATATCATCCTTCATATTTGACAGAACTCTAGTTTTATAGAGCTCTTACATAACTGAAATTCATACCATGACCCTGTGAGATGGGTATTATCCCTTTATATTACAGAAATAACAGGAAAATATAGATGTTAAAAATCTTGCAAGTCACACAACTACTATGCAACAGAAATAGGTCTCAAAGGGAATGATTAAACCTGCAATAGCCTTGTGCATAGATTTTTTTAAAGTCTTTGCAAAATATTAATGAGCCCAAATATAATTATTTGGATATTTTTTATAATCAAGATGACACAAATATGTGTTAATTTACTTAAATAAAGTAACTGAGAAATAATACTGAAGTTTTCCCTGACTCTGACAACCTACATGTAACTTCTAATCAAAAAGCCAGACAGCTTTTTTGCCCCAGCTACTGTTATTTTAGTCTTAACTATATTTTATGGCTAACACCTCATGCAGAGAAAAGTTTGCAACTTTGCTTCAATTTTGGTTTGGCTGAAGTATCTTTTTCAAAAGCTCAGCAATTTAATGCTTTACAGTTTTGAAAACCATATTCACAGCAGAAAATACACAAGTAATTAAAAAAAAACACTCAGAAGACTTACCCTTTAAAGTCAGATGTAAAGATACAATAGTTTGCTATTTTCTCTTCTCTGTAAATTGTCTATGGCTCAAGACTATCGGTCTCTTTAATGCAATTGCCAAAATGTTGTGGATATCTGACAAGCGATGTTTTAAAGGAAAAACATAAAAATTTTGTAAAACTGATATTAAAAAATAGGCCATGCTCTGGACTAGTCAATGAGAGCTATAGTGAGTAGATGAACATGGTTTAAAAGTTATCTGGTTTCTCTAATTTCTATTACATTATATCTAAATTTATAAATGCAAGTAAAAGATGTTTGTTCAGGGCACTTGGGTGGCTCAGCTTTTTAAGTGTCTGACTTAGCTCAGGTCATGATCTCAGGGTCCCAAGACCAAGCCCCACATAAGGCTCCATGCTCCTTGTTTCTCCCTCTCCCTCTGCCCACCCTCTTCCCCAACTCATGCTCTCTCTCTCTCTCAATAAATAAATAAAATCTTTTTTTTTTAAAAATA